TTCTTGACAATGCATCTGCATTGCCATGAGATTTCCCGCTGCGATGTTTGATCACAAAGTCGTATTCCTGCAGTAGTTCAATTCATCTCGCAACTTGTCCTTCCGGATTTTTGAACTGCAATAGCCATTTCAGTGCAACATGGTCAGTTCGTAAGTGAAATTTCCGCCCCAGAAGATATTTGCTAAAATGCTGCAAGGACTTTACCACAGCAAGCAAATCCTGACTTGTGAGACAATAGTTCCTTTCCGGCTTTGACAGCGACTTGCTGAAGTACGCTATCACAATCACTTGATCACCATTCCGTTGAGACAACACACCGCCAAGTCCTATATCACTTGCGTCTGTGTCAACTATGGATTCCTTACCCGCATCAGGGTACCCCAAAATAGGTGTTTTGCACAGACGGTTCTTGAGCTCCTGGAATGCAATATCGCAACTTTCATCCCAGCAGAAATGTCAATTCTCCTCGGTTAGCTTGTGCAGAGGTTTGGCTATATCTGCAAAGTTCTTCACAAATCGCCGATAATAAGAGCAAAAACCCAAAAATGCTCTAACCTGTGTCTTGTCTTTTGGAACCGGCCACTCCTTGACAGCGGCAATTTTCTCTGGATCCGTGCGGATACCTTCTTCCGATAATACATACCCCAAAAAGCTAACTTGCCGTTTGAATAGTGAGCACTTCTTTAGACTCAACTTGAGGTTGGCACTCTGGATCTTCGTGAGCACGCGTATATTATTATATTAGACCGGTAAGTACAAGCTCCATCAACCTTTCAAACGTTGCTGGAGCATTTCACAATCCAAACGGCATGACTTCAAATTGCCAGAGACCCTTTCCTGTGGATAATGCAGTTTTATCCTTGTCCTTAGGGTCAATTTCAACCTGCCAGTATCCACTTTTCAGGTCCAGCGTACTAAACCAATTTACATAGGATAGCTGTCCTTCGTAACGTCGTTCAGGCGGCGGTAATCAACACAAAACCGCATGCTGCCGTCCTTCTTCTTTACCAGCACCACAGGTGAACACCATGTACTAGATGAAGGTTCAATAACACCATCCTTAACCATTCAATCATGGTTTCTACTTCCTTTTGACGTGCTACAGGCAATCTTTTTGGCCGCTGACGATTAGGCAATTCTTCCCCTGTGTTTATTTTGTGTTGAACTAAGCCAGTCTTTCCTATGTCAGCTTCTTTTGACGAAAAAACATTGGCGTACTTGAGTAACAACTTCTTCGACTTGACCAATTCATTCGGGGAGAGAACGATGCGACAGTCTTCTAAAAGTGTGGTCACTCTCATTTGTCCATCCTTGCTGAGGGTCCCAGTCAATAGATATTGGCACCGATGCAACCATTCCACTTCCTCACTAGTACCAACCAATGTGCCTTTTTCTACAATCTGTTCCTGATAACAAAGGTTCAGCACACGTACTCTTGAGATGTCGGCGGTTCTGACCAAGGTTCAAGCCACTATCCATGGAAGGTTATTGTCTACCCTTTCCACGAGTACACAACGAAGAGTTTGCGCAAGATTCCGAGGAAGTCTAACCGGCACAATCGTTTCCGATCTCGGCGGAAGAACAATCTTCTTAAGGCTGTACACATTCCCTGGTAACGCCCCTTCCACGAAAAGTTCCTCTTGTCTACATTTCAAAATACCTTGCTTAACGACGATCTCACAACAATTCTTCCTCATAAAGTCTAGGCCCAGGATGCAGTCGTCCATTATATCAGCCACGATGACATTATGCAGGTAGATCATGTCGCCTAGCTTCAAATCCATCTCCTTCTCTTCACGGACGGGTATGCGCTGACCGGTGGCTGTCACCAAATTAATGCGTTCTCGGTTGTACGCGGAGTCCCCAAGGAACCAACTTATAAGTTGGGAACTGACAACCGTGCGAGAGGCTCCAGTGTCTATGGTCAGTTTACATGGCGTTCCGTTGACTTCGCCCTTGATGATTAGGCTGTTCTCATCATGGGTTTGTGAGATCGAAATCCTTGGGGCTCTTTTAACATCAGCCAGCACCCGCCCCGCAGTCCTGGCTTTTACTCGTTTCCCTGCTGCTGCTGGACGGTGCTATTAGCCGCACTACCCTCTCGAGATCGATCACCTTCCCTTTCTATAGTTCGCTTAGGGCAGCTGGATCGAAGATGGCTCCTTTCCCCACAGCCGTAGCACCTAGGGCTGTAGCCGTTATGGCGGTCCCGCACTGTAGCTGCTTCAACCTCCCTGACGCGGTGGGAACGATGATCCTGCCGCACGGCTTCCACCTTCAGTGCATAGGTCAAGGCGTCCTTAAGCGTCTCGTGGTGCCCGAGCCTCACAGCAGCTCTGACTTCAAGGTCACGGATGCCGTCGATGAATGTCTGCACCAGGTTCCCTACAATGAGCGCAGGTACAGACTGGTACGCTTTTCGAACCAGCTTCTCCACCTCAAGGGCCCACTGCTGCAGGTTTTCGTTAATGCGTTGCACGCGATCTTTGAGCTGCGTACGAAAGACGTGTTCCAGGTGAGCGTCGCCATATCTCGCCTCCAATGCCTCAAGAAGCTGCTCGTAAGTCACTTCCTTACCGAGAGCTTCCAGAACAGTTAAGGCCTGGTCGCGCAGGCCTAGGGTGAGAGCAGTCATGGCCTGACTTTTATTCCAGCCGTTCGCTTTCATGACAGCCTCGAACTGGATTTTGTAGGCCGAACAGGAAGCAGTCCCGTCGAAAGGTGGCACTTTGAATCCACGTAGCGAAGGTGTTGTAGCTACCACGGGAGCTGTAACTCCATCCCCAATTTGAGGTCGTCCAGCGTTTTCTTCACGTCAACCGTCACGTTGTAAACCCGATTGTTCACTTGGTCGATTCGGGTTTTAGCTTCCGACAGGCGGTTGTCATGTTGAGCAACTCTATCCTTCACCTCCTTTATCTCTTTCCCAAAGGTAGCGTGAAGGTTCTTCATGAGAAGCATCAGCTCTTCCTTATCGCGTTTGAGCTGCTTTTCCAAGCAACGGGCCTGTTCCTCCTGTCCGCGCTGCAGCTGCTCTTCCAACCGATGGACCTGTTCCTCCTTTCCGCGCTGCAGCTGCTCTTCCAACCGACGGGCCTGTTCCTCCTGTCGGCGAGCCTGTTCCTCCTGTCGGCGAGCCTGATCCTGCAGCATCATCATCAGAGCACCTAAGTCAGGTGCTGCATTACCAAATCGTCTCTGGTCCGTCTCCAGCTGGCGTTGACTTCGGCTACGGATACCCTCCATGTCGTCCTTTGGTAAAATTGGCATGATTTGATCCCACTTCTGACACCAATTGTTACGAGCTTGGGGTTCGAGACAATTAAAAACTGCCGATTAAATTACCAAAATTGACACTTTAATTACACTACACTAATTACAATCTAAAACCACACAATTATAAAACACAATTGTCACTTTGGTTCGCAATTATTTCGCTTCGAAGTATTCTCTTGTATCGCCAATTCAATACTGCCTCAGTCGTGGTCTATACCGGCCTTATATAGCGCCTCCGATAGTTTCCAGAACCTTCTACTGTAGCGACATCTAGAATGTTCGAGTACATATCGGTCCCGAAATTTCTGGAAGGATCTTGACTCTCCTAGTTCTGCTACTTGACACTAGAGGGCGCTAGTGTTACTAGTGTTGCCATGTACAAGACATTAATAGTGGCGCGCAACATTATAATATAGTGGGTTTCGCTTAGTAAAGCCTGATTCTATTAATTATCTATAGAATTTATAGTAAAAATTATCTGTAAAACACTGTATATTTTTTACGAGTATGTCCCGCCAGCAGTAAGTTGTGGGCGCTCGATACTCTCAAAAAAGCAATATACACCTGACTATGCAAAAAGCAAAGAGTACGAATTGAATACCCTCCATCTTGTCTTGCTGTGGGATTTATTAATATTGTTAGCTTCAAGGGGAATTGCAGCCTTTTAGATTAAAATGATTCAGGATTTTTTTTAAATCATTATATACCATCACAAAAAATGGTAATTTTTTTTTAAATATTAAACTTATCTATGTGTTTATAAACAAATTCTTAAAAAAAGACGTAAAAATTTATTTTCCCGCTTTTATAAATGTCATTGTTAGATGCAAAAATAGCAAAATAGTTTCATTTGTCAAAAAAATATTTTTTTCTAATATAACTAGACGATATCGAACAAAGACAAATTTATCTAACTTTCTACATAGGTTAACAATACGTGTCTTCTAATTACAGAACTTGTCTATTGTTACACCTAAAAATTTAGTATGGTCAACTTCTTCCATGACGTTTTTCCCATATTCGATTTTAGGTGGTGCTTGTTTACTAGGTCAGAAATCTTATCATTTTAAAAACATGCTAAAGTCGTTGAATTGTTTTTGTAAACCCATATTGCTTCTGGTATGTATGGCATTTTCTAATACTTTAGATAAAACAGGTATAAGTGTTATGGGCCGATACTTGTTAATATCACTTTTATCGCCTTTCTTGTGAAGTGGTTTAACGATAGAAAATTTTAATCTAGTTGGGAATATGCCTTGAACAAAAGATAAATTGATAATGAATAAATATGGAACATTGTTTTAAGATTTCAATACTAATGTCATCATAAGCTGTAGAATTTGTATTATTTAAGGAAATAATTATTTTTGTAATGTCAGTGTTATGTATTGGAACTAGATACATCAAAGACATTAAAAACCTATATATTTAAATCTCTTTGAGATACATATAATTGGGACATAATGTCAATTTAGATGTATAGTTATTATTGGTTGTTATTTTTATTTATTTTTTGTTTATAATGTCATTAGTTAAATTTATAAAGTAATTGTCAAACACATCCGCTATTTTATCTGACTGATAATATGTACTAGTAGTTATTGTAATAGGTTGTTCGGAAAGTCATTTCGTTTTTTTTTTGTGGAAATGAAAGACAGTTTTCGTATAATAAATAAATACTTTATTAAATTATATATTGACCGTTCTGGTCCAACACCTTTTGCTATTTTTCTGGTAGTAGCATAATTCCACGCTCAAAAAATGTTTGGTCTTTGCTGGCAAAAAACTGATTGAGGAGATTCTTGACCTCCTCATTTGAGGTGAAGGTTTTACCGTCTAAAAAATTTTGGAGTAACCGGAACAAATAATAATCCGATGGTGCCAGGTCTGGAGAATATGGTGGGTGTAGCATTGCATCCCATTCAAGCTGTAAAAGCTTTTGGCGAGTGACCAAACTTGTGTGAGGTCTCGCGTTGTCTTGGTGAAACACTACACCTTTCCTGTTGATTAGTTCTGACCTTTTCTGTTGAAGTGCATCATTCAGTTTGTCCAGCTGATGACAGTAGACTTCCGAATTAATCGTTGTGTTATCCGGTAAAAGCTCAAAAAAAAAACGATTCCTTTTAAATCCCACCAAACAGACAGCATCAACTTTTATTGGTGAATATCGGCTTTGGAAATGGTTTGAGCCGGTTCATCTTTTTTGCTCCATGACCTCTTGCGTTTGATGTTGTTGTATACAACCCATTTTTCGTTCCCAGTGATGATGCGCTTCAAAAACGGATCATTTTCGTGACGTTTGAGAAGCGAATCGCAGACGTCATTGCGGCGACACAGATTACTCTCTGTAAGAACATGGGGAACCTTACATCGAGCTTCAAGGAAAGCATTAATCCCAGGCCTTTCAAGTGGTCATAAACTGTTGAATTTGATAAATTTAACCTCAATCTGAACTCAGGTGTTGTTATTCGCCGGTTTACATCAACTAATGCCTTTATCGCGTCTTTATCAGCTTCAACCGGCCTTCCCGAACGTGGTGCATCTTCGACATCAAAATTGCCGGATCGAAATTTAGCGAACCAGTTCTGGCACTGGCGTACTGTCAACACACCTTCTCCATACACATCAGTCAATTTCTTTCTGGCTTGAACAGCATTTTTACCCTTTATATATCGAAAATGCTGCTTATCGCTCTCCATATTTAAAAGGGCACCAACCAAAAACTACTGCGTAGAATTAATTGGAATTTTTCACACATAAGCATTGCTATATGAGCTCTGAAAGCATATAAAAATTATACGGCTTAAATGTGAAGTTGGGTGCAAAAGAATACAATTAAATCCTCTGTCGGGAAAAAACGAAATGACTTTCCGAACAACCCAATAGTTATGTCATTAATAACTACCACATCATTATTAACGTTTTTTATTATTCGCCAAGCTACCTTACTTTTGTTGTTAGAATTGAGTAGGTAGCGTATATTGTCAAGTGTCTGAGCTTGCAGTATGCGTTTCTTTAAAACGTTTCTATATTTGTAATATATTTTCATATTTCTTTTTTTATTTGCTGTCGAAAGATGGTACTTCAAATATAAACGTATTTTAATAATGCTACAATGGTGGGGCTGAAATATAGGACAGAGTTTTTTTCACGTTTTCATTACTAAGGTCTCTTTTTTCCTCAAATCACAACGTTGTCCTAATATGACTTGTATTTATATTTGTTGGAAAAGTTATTGTTTGGCAAGTTTCATGATCATATAGCGCTAAATAGTGAATATTTGGTTGTATTTTAGGAAGATTACTGGCAATCAAATCAATACACGACATTTTCCTGGTTGGCTTACAAACGTGGTTATTTAAGTTATGATTGTAAAAAATAGAATTAAGTAATTTAGAATTAATATCATTTTTCAAAATTTCTGTATTCCAATCTCCACAAACAGAATTCTTTTATTATTTTTCGTAATGAGTTTATTTAAAAGTTGATTAAAATTTTCAAAAAAATAATTTTATATTATAATTTTGAATCCTATATATACATACAACGCAAATGCCAACTGTAACAATCTCAATAGCACAAAATTCAAATGTATATTTTACCGGGTTGGGTAGGTTTTTAACCTGGGTTGATAATCTAATTCTTTTTTTTAGAGCATGAGTAACACGTAATATATTTGTATGCGTACGCGTTAATGGTTTCAATTAGACTGTTCACACCTGCCGCCAATCAATATGGCGCTTGTGTCGAGCAGTGAGCCATAACCCGAAAGATTACGGCTACATTCAGACTGAAAACAGTTGATAACCAACCCAATGGATTTAATAGAAATATAGAAAAAATACTATCTTCAAAATTGTGTTGCCTTGTATTTAATATATAGAATTTTAAGAAATTTATAGAATAAGGGTGACAAACGAGCACACAGTCCACCTGATGGTAAGTGGTTGCTGCGGCCCATAGTCATCTACATTTATCCTCTATTACAAATCAAAATGTAGATGCGTTGTCACCCGTGAGGACTAAAATGGAATGCCTCATTTCCAGTAAAAAGGGCCTCCGGCCATCTGCACTTACCAAGCGAAACGCAGAGGTAAATCTCTACTTCACGCTGGTTTTCTGTGAGGTCGTGGTACTACCCCGGTTCGAGCCGGCCCATCCGTGCGACAGCAAAAGCTGCTGCGTGGCTCTACCACTGTTAATATATACGAAAAGAGAACTAAAAACATAACATATAAATAATTTTTTCCAGTAGGGAACATGCCTCTCACCTTAAAAGAAGTAATTTCTTTTAAAAATCTCTAAACTATGATATAAATTGAAAGAAAAGGAAATAACTTAAGTACTAAGAACTACCTGTTGTAACTGTAACGAATTATTCTAACATAAGTGGGCTACACGTCGTTTAAAAATAGTGCTCCCAGACTTTAGGTTCTACCAAGGGTCTAACTACTTAGTTACCTAATAGGTTCCAGGATGGATGAGGAGGATGATCGAAGCCAGGACGAACAGCATACACACGCGCGAGCTTCCATTGTAATGGCGGAAGGTGCTTGTCGCATACCACAACAACAGTGCCTTCACGAACGGCGGAGCCGCAATCATGAAGCCACATACTACTCTGTTGTAAGTGATGGAAATATTCTCTACTCCATCTTTTCCAAAAGTGCCAGTAGTATCCAGCGCCAACGTGCGAGACGGTTAGGAAGTTTTTTGTCTAACAAAGATACATTAATTAGCGCCGCTCTTATTAAAAAATGAAACGGTATTAAAGATAAGGGATCGATAGATTTATGGCGCAAAGGAGACGTGAGTTTAACACAGCTTCGATTTGACAGAGAAGAGTATGCATCTCGTCATAACTCTGAGTACGAATTCTAACCACACGATGTAGGAGGTGCTTGAAACTTTTAAGACTGGCTTCGAAGAGACCTCCAAAATAGCTAGCATACGGAGGTTGAAAGAGCCACGTAAGTCCCTGTAGAACGTTTTGTTGATTAAGTGTACTTTGAACGACATCACTACGTAAAAACGCGTATAAGTCTTTAAGATAATTGTTACATCCTACAAAATTATTTTCGCAGTTCGAATATATATACGTACATAATCCTCGACGGGACGTGAAGCGTCGCAGAGCTGCTAAAAATGCATCAGTGGAAAGCTCCGAAACGAATTCGAGATGTACGGCCTTAACGCTCATACATACGAATACCGAAATATAACACTTCACTATTTTTGCGTTACGTACTTTATTAGCACGAACAAAAAATGGACTGGCATAATCTACGGCCGTTTTGAGGAAAGGACGCGCCGGACATATCCTCGAAGCTGGTAGTGGATCCATTCGCTGTTGATCACGCGTTGGACGAGCACGGAACGACGACGGACGACACAGCGATGTATGCGTAGAAGCACGATGTCAGGGCAAGACAATATCCAATAACACTGCAACAGCAAGTATTGCACGGACTGAACTCTACGTGCAGATAGCTTATGTGAGCGTCGTCGGTAATCAAATCAGTCAAAGCATGTTTTTTCGGTAAAATTATTTGATGTCTAGATTCAAATGGTGATAATGACTTATGAACTCGATCTCCTGCACGTCATCATCCAAAAACGACGTAAGACGTCGCAATTGATTAGAAGGTAATTTTCCTTGAGGTGTTTTTAAAATATCGTCTTGAAAGACCGATTGTTGAGTAAGGCAAATTAGTCGATTTAAAGAAAAAATATATTTAGGCACTGTAAATAACCCGAGAACGAATTTTTGACCCTTTTGCATTTATTATAAAAACGGAATATTAGTGCGGTAATTCGAACGAGTTTGCCTAGCGACCAAAATCGCATTATAATTTTGGCATTTTGTTCTGGCGGTGCAGTGGACATATCAGAAGATAGCGTTAAGTTACGTTTCTCTACACAGGAGCTCATACTTTGATTCTCAACAGGTCAGTAGTCGGGACTAACCACAAGTCGTGATGTACTAGCGCGATAGGTAGCACGCACGTGATGCAGCGTCAGCAGGATTATTGTGGCTGACGGGATATTGTACCAGCAACCGGCGGGTACGCAGAATAGAACATCGCTAGTGCGATTGGAAACAAACGTCTTCCATTCATGCGGTGACGAGCGGAGCCAGACTATTACGATGGAGGCGGTGGCATATGCGATCTCTATACAAATTTGCTACAATATCTAATATCTTTGTAGGCAATAGAGCTGCCATCAGATCGAGACGTGGGATGGTGAAGGGTACGCGGAACGGAGCTACCCGAGTTTTTGCCATAATCAGGTAAGTATAAATATTGTCGGCCTTGCCTGTAAGTCGAATATAGACAAAGCCGGCATATGCGATCTGAGACGTGTCAGTAAATCCATGAATTTCCACCGAATCGATATTATTACTAAAAAAGTATCGAGGAAACTATACCTGTGAAAACAGCGGTAACTCGTTTATGTAACGTGTCCACGAATTAATAACATGAATGGGCGGATTATCATCCTAATCTACATGTGCCATCCACAATAGTAAGATCAAATGCTTGGCATATACATACATATACCAGTGATAGCAACCCGAGGGGGTCATATATTTTCGCGATCTCAGAAAGAATAGCCCTCTTTGTGCATTTATGAGTAGTAACTTGAACTTTAAAATTAAATTTATCAGATCCTGGATTCCATTGAAGTCCGAGGACCTTAACTCTTTTGTCATTTTCCATTTCAGAAAATGGGACGTTTTCGGGCCCTCGTCGTGACAAGTTGTTGGCTGTACTGTAGCGAGTATCGCTGTTGAGTTGTTGTGCCACTTGCGCAGTTCAAATCTAGCCGTCTTACAACTGCCGATAAGCTCTAGCTGCAGAGCGAGAATATTGGCCTCTGTATCCTCACAAGAAACAACATCTGCGAGCCTGAAATTCTCGGCCTCATCGTGAGCGAGCTGCTGAATTGTACGCAAAGCTAGATTGACTCTGAAGAACGTATGTAAAATAGACGCTAAATGGCCTAAACACGACTAATTTAATATAATATTCTATCTCATTCTCTCGCAGGCTAAATCCTATAGATGTATATGTTTGTCTCTTTTAGTATCGCTTTTTATTTTCATTTGGTTTCAAATCACGATTGTAAAGAAGTATTCACTTCAAAAATATTACTTGTCAGTAGTTATGTCTATTTTATAAAATTATGTGAGTGATTTTTGTAGCTTAGCTTTCCATTGACGTCCGTCGAGTTGGTGGTTGATATTTTTTTTACAGCAAAGTTACACACACAAAGTTTCAACATGCATAAACGCGTACTTTATGAGAAAAAAATTATTGAAAATCAATTATTTTTGCAATATTTATTATTTCAATTCCTACCGTAAAACTGACGCTATTTTGTATTCTCATTGTCATCGTCAGTAGGAATGTCGATTCTTTCCGAAAAAGATCGATTTTTAAATCGATTCGAATCGTAAGCTGATGTATCGATTGACAATAAATCGATTTCTAAAATATCGATATTTTTTCATGTTTGCATATATAATGTAAATATAAATCCATTTTATGAAAAAAAAGAAAGATACCATAATAAATGATCTCTTATTGAAATTTGTTTTATTTTAACAGTACCTATTAGGGTAGATAAATAAAATAGGTTATGGTAGGTAACTTATGTCAAAGAACCGAATTGATTGACCCCGACTCCACCTGGT